GTCTCCCCTCTCTCTGCCCGAGACTGCAGAGGTGACAGAGATGTGTGTTCATTTGCATTCTACGTATTAAGTGGTGTATTAGTTCGGATCTTTTATTGCTGTGAAGAGACTCCATGAAACAGCCAAGTTTTCTAAAGAAAACCCTTCCATTGGGGTGGCTCGCTTACACATTCAGGGCTTCAGTGCATTATCATCAGGATGGGGACCAGGGCAGCATGCAGGGAAATGCGGTGCTGGAACTGAGAGCCCTATATTTTGACTCAGAGGCAACAGGAAGTCAGTTGATTGTCACACTGAGTGAAGCTAGATAAAAAAGAACTTCAAAGTCTGCCTCTACAGTGACACACTTCTTCCAACAAATCCACACCTACTAATAGTGCCAGTTCCTTTAGGGGCCATTTTCTTTTTTCAAAACTCCACGAGTATGAAATAGGTTGCTTTTTCTGTGCACTGGCTGGGATATTCCCTCCCCTAGGACTGGTTTAATTTTCATGAACAATAATCAGATTTTATTCCTTCTTCTGTGCATATGTTATATATCCCGGGGAACTGTGGGTATGACCCACCTGTGTGACTACATCGCATTTGTGTTTGGTGAATTCTGTCCTCTACAAAGCTAAAATTGAAATTTAATATCACTCATGTAAGAAAAAGCATCCACAAATAAATTGATACTGGAGGGCACTGACAAAATCAATCATTTTTGTGGTTTTGTGTCTCTGATTGCAGAACCTGGGTTGGAATCTAGAGTTTCTGTTTACCAGGCAAGTTCTCTACCACTGAGCTATATCCTCAGTCCTCTTTTTACTTTTTAATTTCGCCCAGACTGACCTTGAACTATAATTCTTCTGCTGTAGCTTTCTAAGTAGCTATGCCTACAGGACTGCACCATCAGGCCTGACATGAGTTTTTGTTTCATTTCTTTTGACCACAGTTCTATGGTCTTTGCGTAATAGATCTTAGTCTATATTCAGAGAAAGTTTCTATCTTTTTGTTTCCATTTTAGGCACTGGAACCCCGTTAGGCACCCCAGTTCTCACTACCCCTGGTGCTTTCCTCTGTCTGATTTTTAGCTTTCCATTCATAAGGGCAGTCTCCAACTCTTCCTATATGACAAGGACTTAAAATTTTAGTAAAGTTTGTTTTTTGGCATTTCTAAGGTTAAAAGTGGTGTGTGTGTGTGTGTGTGTGTGTGTGTGTGTGTGTGTGTGTGTGTCATGGCACATGTGCATAGATCAGAGAACAACTTTGAGTGTTGGTCCTCATCTCCCATCCCATGTGAGGCAGGTTCTCTCCTTTGCCTCTGTGCCCACTATGTTGGTTGCATGGTGAAGCTTGCAGGGCTTCTCCTGTTCCCACCTCCTATTGAGCTGCAGACGTTGTTGGAACTGCAGACATGCCTGTGGTATCTGACTTTTTGTGAGTTATGGGAATTTGAACTCACATCTTTATATTGGTGAGTCAATCCACGGAGTCAGCTTCCTAATCCTGATTTAGTTTTTTAAAATTATATTATTAATTCATGTGTATGGATGATTTGCCTGCATGTACATCTGTGTATCATACCATGCCTGGTGTCCTGGAAAGCTATAGTATGGTTAGGCTCCCAGGAGTTACAGACACTTGTGAGTCAACATGTGAGCACTGGGAACTGAACCTGGGTCCTCTGGAAAAGCAGCCAGTGCTCTTAACCACTGAGCCACCTCTCTATTCCCTAATTTAAAGGTATTAAGAAAACAGATTGTATGAGGGGTAAAACGGATCTTACGGGGGTCTTAGTTTATCAACAAGATTGTGTAAGCTCTTCTGTAGGCTGCGTTTGTTAACTTCCTGCCCATCTTCTCCCCAGTTTATATCAGTTTTGAGGTGCTTTGAGGACAATTTCCTAATGTTTTCTGGTCATTCTTCCAAGTGAGGTCCTCCTGCATCTTCCAGCCTGCTGTCCTTTCTTTACTGTCTGCTTGCTGTGGTTTACAGCCCACCTCACTGATGGTTGGACCTGGGCCACTCACAGCACGTTTAGCTTTCCACGAGATGTAATCCAGGATCTAAACATGTTCCTCTAATGTCCGTGCCACTTATGCCAGATTTTTCTCAACAATGAGAGGAAATAGAGGTTGCTCGAATCTTCTCTCAGTACAGTTCTGGTGGCCATCGATTGTCTGAAGCCCATTTTCACAGTTAATGGCCTATGTTCTGGAAGCAACCTATAAGGGTTGTTTTTTCCTCCTTAAGATTTTTTCTTACTTCATTATTGTAATCTGTCTTTACTTTTATTGTTGATTTTTTATTGATCCTATTTAAAATTTACTGGGTTTTTAGGTTGATATCATTTATCCACTTGGGAAATCCCCAGTCACTATTTCTCCATATATTACTTTCTTATTCTCTCCATTTCTGTATCTTTCCTCACTTCCCCTTTCCTCCCTCTTTTCTTCATCCCATTATCTTACAGAGTATTGGGATTCTTTTCTTTTGAAAAATGTTTTATTATTTATACTTCATGTGTATAAGTGTTTTACCTGTATGTATGTAAGTGCACCACATGTGTGCTTGGTGTGCACATATGGCACAGAGGGTGTTAGATCCCTTAACAATTTAGTTATAAATGACTGTAAGCCACTATGTGGATGCTGGGGATTGAATTCAGATCCTCTGACCACCAAGCTATAACTCCATCCCAGAGAGGAACGGGTTTCATTCTGACATTTTCATGCAAGTGCACCAGTGTTTCTCTCTCTAGGACTAAAGGGATGAGGCAGGTTCCATATCCAGACTGTCTCTGATTTTTCTTTCCTGAATTATTTTTATTTATAATGTCTTTATTATATGTTATCTGGATGTTTTCTATTGTTCTGTCTTCTGGATTGTCCTTTCACCAATAGTGTGTTGTTTTGTGTTTTTAGTCTTCTCTTAAAACCTTTCATCAAGTTTGAGAAATCAGAGAGCTGGAGAGATGACTCAGAAGTTAAGAGCACTGGCTTCTCTTCCAGAGGACTAGGCATGCATATCAAATATTGCTTTTCCCTGCTCTTTAGTTTTGGTTTTTGATTTTTCAAGATAGGGTTTCCTTGTGTAGTGGTGGCTTTTCTCAAAATTGCTGTGTAGACCAGGCTGGACTTGAACTCACAGAGATTTCCCTGCCCCTCTTCCAAGTTCTGGAATTAAAGGTGTGAGCCACCACCAACTAGCTTACTCTCTTCTCTTGAAAGCCTTTTTATGTTTTTAAAAAAGTATTATTAGTGTTGCTACAGTTTTTTATTATACTTAGTGAGTATGTGTGCATGTTGAGTGTTTGTGTGTGTGTGTACGTATGAAGCATGAGTGGGCATGATGGTCATACAATGCATGTGTATGTATTGTTTGTGTATGTGTGTGTGCATGTTAGAACACATGGAGGTCAGAGGACAACTTTATGGATCCTCTGGGTGCCTTTAATTCCTGAGACAGCTCTCTAACATGCTTTTTCTCCAATGCTTATTAAAGTATGCATATTTACATTGGAAGCATAAATTTTTAGTTAAAATTATTAAAATAAAATAACAAAAATCCTACTTTTGTCATCCTCTAGAAGTCATCTACACAAATGAACATCTTACAACACTCTAGGAATACAGAACATGGTGTGAATTGCCTGAATTTTAAAGAGGTGGTTCCTTCCTGGAATCTCAGCACCTGAGAGGTTAACTGGAGCATTTCTGTCAGTCTGAGGCAATACTGGTCTATAGAGTAAATACCAGGCCAGTATGGGCTACGGAGTGAGTCAGTGTAGGCAGAACTTCCCTCTCCAAACTACCTGCTCCCACATAACCAGCAGCCACATCCAAAGTATCTGGCTCAGAGACTTAATATAAATAACAAATACTTAACTGATAGCTCAGGCTGATTGCTACCTGACTCTCTTAAATTAATTCATTTTTCTTATCAATGTTTTGCCACGTGTCTCGTGAATTTTTCCTCATTTCTGACACATCCTGCTTCCTTGGTGGTTGGCTAGCACCTGCTCTGACTCTGACCTTCTTTCCATCATTCTCCTATTTTGTCTGCCCCATCTATAATAAATGCCTGCCTACTGGCCAACAGGTTTCATTAAACCAATGTGAGTGACAATCTTAAGTATGTGAAAGGATTCTTTCACAAGATTTCTCCCTTTTTGTTCAACTAAAAAAGGCTTTAATTTTAACATAGTAAAATTATATGTAACAAAAGAACTTGCTATGTAAGAATTAATTAAAATCCAACTTCATCAAAGACTTCAGAAAGATGAAATGTTACCTAATTACAGGGACATCAGGCTGTCTGACCCAAAGTTCCTTTATACTGTTAGAGCATCCAACTCTGACTTACAAACCTAGCATGTGAGAGACTTTCCTGAGATGCAGGGAATTCTTTTTTTTAACTATTATTTATTTATTTATTAAAAATTTCTGTCTCTTCCCCGCCACCGCCTCCCATTTCCTTCCCCCTCCCCCAATTAAGTCCCCCTCCCTCGTCAGCCCAAAGATCAATCAGGGTCTCTGCCCTGTGGGAAGTCCAAGGACCACCCACCTCCATCCAGGTCTAGTAAGGTTAGCATCCAAACTGCCTAGGCTCCCACAGAGCCAGTACCTGCAGTAGGACCCATTGCTGTTGTTCTTGAGTTCTCAGTAGTCCTCATTGTCTGCTATGTTCAGCGAGTCCAGTTTTATCCCATGATTTTTCAGACCCAGGCCAGCTGGCGTTGGTGAGTACCCAATAGAACATCCCCATTGTCTCAGTGTGTGGGTGCACCCCTCGCGGTCGTGAGTTCCTTGCTCGTAGTCTCTCTCTCCTTCTGCTCCTGATTTGGACCTTGAGATTTCTGTCCGGTGCTCCAATGTGGGTCTCTGTCTCCTTTGTATGAATGTGCACATGTGTGTAGAAGTCAGACATTGATGCTGGGAGTCTTTGTCCATCTCTATCCATCTTTTATAACAAGGCAGGTTCTCTCTCACTTGAACCCAGAATGTGGATATTTAGTGGAGTTAACTCATTTTATTTATTGGGGTTAACTCAAGACCACCTATCTAATGTGTGTTAGTTCTTTATAGTCTTTCTTTCATTTCCACAAGCATGTAATCCAAGTCCTGATAACCATTTCCCCATTGTATTTCCTTCCAGGATGTCCACAGCACACGAGAACACAGAATCTATATTCCAGCTCTTCAGAGTACTTAAATTGGACATTTCAGATGCAATAAAAGATTTATTTCCTTTTCTGGATGTCCTCTGTGACAACAATGTCATCAGCGATAAACAGTATGAAGTAAGTGAAGTTTCCTTACATCCTGACCCAGAAAAAAAAAACTCCAAATTAAGTTACACTTTGATATCTTGAACCAAACTGGATGACTGGCAGTTTAATTTAAAATTGGACTTTAAAATAATAAAAATAAAAAGATGAAGTTATTTTTAAAACAAAGTTCTCATCTCTCTGCTCGTGTTGTGTGTGTGTGTGTGTATGTGTGTGTTCACATAGGTGCTGGTGCCTACAGAGTCCGGTAAAGATCTCCAGATTCCCTGGAACAGGAGATATAGGCAATTGTGAGACCCCTGATGTGGGTGCTGGGAATCACCCTGGGTCCTCTGTAAGATCAGCACGTGCTCGTAACCTCGAGTCAGCTCTCCAGCCCCTGGACAAAGAATTATTGACAAAGTTTTCATAGCATTTTGTAGAGATATTAGTTCAATAATAAATTCATGAATTATAAATCAGAATTCTGGACTCAGGTTTAGAATCTGCCTTTCTGGGGAACACCATGTATCGTGTAAATATTTCTGGAAGTGTTCTCTCATTGTATCAAGGGGAGGAGAAGCAGAGGCCTCAGGAGATAGATAGTTCTGCTTCTGTCTGAGGGGAAGGTGTTCCATGGTCCCTTCTGGAATCAGGGTGAGTATTGTTGAAGACAAGCCAGAGCAGAACAGGGGTTCTCCAATGATGGGCAATGTCTTATGCATTTTACACCATGTAAATTATGCCATTAAAATGAAACTAAACAATCTAAAACTCAAAGTGTTTTTAATTTACTATTGAATAATTTTATTGAACTGACTTAATGATATTTCATTGGACACATTTTATTTTAATTAATATCTATTTTTAAACCCTAGCTCTGAGAACATAATACCTACAGAGTCTCTTTTGGAGTGATTTTTTTGAACCTATTCATTTTTATTTTATGTACACAAGTGTTTTCTCTGCATGTGTGCCTATGCACCACCAGTATTCCTGGTGCCTTTGTATGGCAGAGGAGAGCTCCTGATCCCCAGACACTGGAGTTACAGGTGGTTGTGAACACCATGAGGGTGCTGGGAATTGAACCCAAGACCTCTGCAGGAGCAGCAAATACGATCGCCCACTGAACCATCTCACCAGGCCCATTGTAAACCCTTAGCCCTAGCATTCCTTTGTTATAGAAAGTGGCCCTTCCTACATGTCATAGAAATGATGGTTAGAACTCAAAATCACTAGCTAGTATTTTCACAGAGAAAATATGCACTTGTTTCATGATGTAGCCATGCAAATATAAAACTTTTTAATAGAAGATATGTCTGTTGTGGATTGAGGTACACTAACTATAATTGTTTCCTAGGGTTCTTCTGTGACCTGGAAGTCTGCACTTAAATTTTCTCCATTAAATATCTTTAAAGGATTATCAAGAATCCTGTACAAACCTGATCCCTGTGCAAAAAGTGGTCTACAAAGTCTTGAAAGGACTGGAAGAGAAACATGACAGGAGGCTCTAAGGTTATTGTTCTGTAAGCAAAATATGGAGGCATACCCTGATTTGGAACACATTTTTAAAAGATTTAAAAATGGTAATTGAGTTTAGTATAACCTTGGAGAACACAGTCCTTATTTCCCCTCAATAACTATATATTACCTACCATGTGTCATATACAGTGCTGCACAATCTGAGTTATAGCAGTTTAAAATTTAACATGTTATGTATCATCATAACACTTATATTTAAGGGCTACAATTGACACCCTCCAGAGGTCTGCTAGGCTGGATATTTAGACTGAGAAGACAATGAGAGTCCCCATCAGCATCAGGCTATGGAGAAGAGGACAGGAGGAACTCAGTCCCAGTAGGTTAGCACTGCTGTGTCTCTTCAGTGGAGCCCTTATAATATTATACATAGGAGTCCACCAGGTTCAGTACACCCCACCTTGAGTGACAGCTCAGCTGTTGGTTGCAGGATCCATCTTAGCTTAGTACCACATGCTCATAGAAATCAACAATGTGTGAGCCTGTTCTTCAACCCCATCTTGCCCATCTTTAAAGCCTACCCATCATCAAGCTTCCCTTTGGTATGTGCCAGATCCTTGATCTTCCATCCAGGAAAGCCCCTCTTTCTCCTTACACTTGTGATAGCCTGGAAGCCATGTTTAGATTCTATTTTTTTTTCTGTTTTGACATCTACATTCTCTGCCCTCTGAACACTGGAATATGAACACAGCACAAGTGTGTCTTCAAATTTTTAGTCTTGACCTTGAGTGTCCCCTTTCTCTATGGGAAGCATAAAGTCTCCCTTGTGGAGTCTTCTCTGTCCCAGGAGGTGATGGGTGAACTTCATTATGTAGGACACATTGAACTTGCAGTGATCAGGAGACCAGAAATTCCTAAATGTGTAATGCAGAAATGCTGCCCCTTGTCCCTGCTAAATATCTCTAATGGCTTCCTCTTCTTCTTCCATCTCCCTCCCACTTTAGTCTTACCACAGGATGAACTGCATTTGGAAGAAATTGATAGAGGGGACCTGAACTCACAGCTCAGTCTTGAACAAGGTAATTACACCTGGAAAGAGTTTTTTAATCGCCACACAAACTAGGAAATAAAGGTGATCCTTAGCAGAATGCCATTAGGGGAAAAACAGAGAAAGCAGTGAGGGGAGTGGCTATGAGCCTGGTGTTAGCTTTCCTGTACTGGGACAAATTACCCAGGAGAATATATACACACAAACTCTGAGGCAGGAGGATTGTGATTTTGAGACCAGCCAATTTTTCATAGTAAAACTCACTCAAAAACAAAATGGATATCTGGGAAGTCAATTTATTTGAGTTCATGATGTTAGGGACTTCAACCCAAATGGTTTGACCTCATTACTTAAGACAGGGCAAAACATCAAACCTAGGGCTTGGTGACCTGGAAGCAAGGGAAGAGAGGATGTGCCTGTGTCCTTCAAGGTTACACCTCCAGTGATCTAAGTTCCTTCAGCTCAGCTCTGCCTATTAAAGGTACCATCAACACCTAGTAGGTGACATTCTGTGGGACAGACCCCTAATACACGAATCCTGGAAGGAGGCGGTGCTTGAGATCTAAACTGACCAGCCTCTAGGAGGATGTAGGATCCTTCCGGAGTAACCATGATAACAAAGAGTCAGCCTGCTACCTATGATGAAGGAACCTGAAACCAATGTTAGTATACAGATTGAAAGAGACTGACTACTCAGAAATAATTGTGACTTAGAGAAGCCTCTGAAGGAGGTGACCAGTATGGAACAGTGAAAGGTGAAGCAGTGTGGTCCATGGTGGCATCATAGAAGACATGCCATATAAGAGAAATGTTCCTGTTTTGTGCCTGCCTCTATATACACCAGTCTCTGACACCAGATTTGTGATGACTGGGGGTTTCCACATCAACCAACTCACCAGACATCAGCAAGGTGTCTTAGGATGCAATTAAATTCAGATAAAGCTTTCAGTGCCACAAGACAGCAGTCTACTTCAGATGCTGGTTACATGGGTGTGACCCATGCTTCTGGTCAACAGCATAAATCAGAGGTTGCCGTGGTGCTTAAGCTACAGAACTTGTTAGCTTAGCTCATGAGCCTCTAGGAAATGTTCAATTAAATTTATTTGAAAAGTTATAGCTTAAAAATAGCTAGGCTCAGGGAAATTAGGGAGACGACTCAGTTGTCAAAGTACATAGAAGCACAGGGGCTTGAGTTTGATCCCCTAAACTTGGGTCAAAAACAGATCAAGACACAGGGTCAGGAGCTGTAATCCTAGTACCTGGGAGGCAAAGACAGGCAGCTCCCTGGAGATTACTGCTCAGGAAAACTGATGAGGTTTAGTCAAGTGATAGATTCCATCTCTATAAAAAGATGTCAATGCTACCTGAGGAATGACAGCCAAGGTCATCCTCTGTTCTCTGCTCACATATGCACACTATCAATGACCACATAAAAGAGAGTCACCCTGAGGTCAAATGGGGAAAGAACACAACCCTCTTTTGCCTTCCCGAGGCACACCACTCTTCTTCCAGCACTATCTGATGGAGTTTGTCAACCCCAGATCTCTCTAAACAGTCACTTGGGATTTTTAATAAAAGTTTCATCATGCCTGCATTATTATCCATGCGATCAAGTCAAATTCTAGCTCTTCTCATGTAGGAGGTCAGCGCTCCAATGCTGTAATCATGGTTTATTCCCCTGGCATCCAACCCTTCATTCCTAATGTCTTTCCAAACTTCACCTCTGTAATATACACTGTGGTGTTACTGAAGAAGGCTGGTTATGCTCAAGGGTAGACTGACTCTCTTTTCACCTTAATCACTTGGGAACTCACCCAGGATTTGAGGAGCTCTGGCCAGGAACAGGGACTGAAGATCCAAAACTACCATTTCTTAGTATGTCACAGTCTCACACTTGATGTTAGAGGAGATGGATTCAAACACGAGAAATGTTGTTTGAGAGCAAAAGTATTCCAGAAGAAAGATAGATAGGAGATGACGCACAGCAAGAGAGTGGTAGAGGTGTCGGGAGATCACACGGATTCTTTGAGACAGAGAAAGGAAGAGGAAAGGAAATGAGAACAGAAAGAATAACAGACAATGGCAGAGGGAACCATGTTGCTAGTTTACTACTTTGCGTCTACTTTTGATTTTAGTCAACCCCAGCTGGTACGAAGTATTGGTATCATTCAGATGCCCAGTTTATAGTGGAGGAAGCTAAACTTAAGAGAGACCATGTGTGGAGTGTTCACAGGGTCAAATCAAAAGCAAGAATCCAGGCACTCAGGAGGCAAAGTCTGTGTTCTTGTCCATGTACTGGTAATCCGATGGAAAACATGAAACAGAAGTAGGGGAAATAGAGAGAGAAAATACAGGAAGGAATTCAAAAATGGGAGGGAATGGAGACAGGCTGTTCCTGAGTATTCATGAGAAGCCAGCAGGGACGAGCCATCAGATATATACAGGGAGGCTGTTTTGTGAAAGGCAATGTGGTCCAGAGTAGGCTAGGAATTCAGATAAGGCCACTGGTCCTGAGAGCTCTGGGGACACATGTAGGCATCCTTTAGGCAAAAATATGAATGCAGATCACCACCAGGTGCTAGAGTGGCCCAGGCAGGACTTTACTCAGTTAGAGGCGACCCTTTCAACCTAATCTTATGACCCAAGTCTGATCTCAGGAATCAAGGGGAGCTTGTCAGCTTTAGGGCACTTTCTCTCTTGCATATTAAAGACAAAAGAGAACAACTCAGTGAACAACTCAGTTAGACTCCTGAAACAAACATCTAGTGTTCGTTCCTTAGGACCTAGTGACAGATGTTTTCAAGAAAGCCTGACTTGGTCAAACTCAAGTCCCTCTTCATCTGATGGTCTATTCTCGTTGACTCTGTTAACATTGCTGTCTCCTCCCATGAGTACTAGCTTGCTTTCTGTTGCTGGGGTTCCATGGCCAAAAGTAATGTGGGGAAGAGAAGATTAATTTATCTTACGGTTTATAATCCACCATGAAGGGACATCAGGATAGGAACCTGAGGCTGGAACTGAAGCTGAGGTCATGGAGGAAAGCTGCTTACTGGCTTCCTCAGCCTGCTTCTTATACATCCAAGAACCAGCCATACAGGGGAGATTAATCCTCCAACAAATGACCATGTGTCTGGTGGTCTGACATCTGAATGACATTAGATACCTGCTGTAACTCTCATGGCCCCAACACTGCAGTGTCTGACTTCACATCATGGGTTCTGGGATCTAAAATCAGGTCCTCATGTTTCTGTAACAAGCACTTTAACCACTGATCTATCACTCCAGCCTCAATGAGTTTATTTTTTAAAAAGTAGATGCAATAATCTACCCTTATCCTATTATATCTATATCCACTTTTTCTTTTTAAAACAGGAACTCCGAATGTAATCTCCTTAGTTCAACTTCTTTCTTGACCATTACCAATAACAACTTCTAATCATTCACAATAAACTATGACAAATATCCATAACCCAATGAAGAAAATGACACACCCCACCTCTTGCGAATGTGGGCATCATACTCTTTGTTTTACTTCCTGCTGTGTGAGGGCAATGGCATCTTTAGAGAATCCTGAATAAAAAATTGGGTTACTTTTCAAGTCTGGGGAAAGGAAGCCGTATCATTTGTTGTTCAGACTCTCCACAGTGGGGAAGTACAGGCTTTATTTGAAGTTGTAGCTAGAGCAGTCTTTTAGGCTGGATCATCTCAGTTGGCCATGTCAAAATGATCCTGAGCAGTTTGTAGTCCAAAGCCGATCTTCAGGTGGTGTTTTTCAGCTTAATGGTGTTATCATAGTCCTGGTGGAATTGTCATTGTGGGGGCCCATCCTCTTTGGGAGACTTCAAAGGTAGGTGGTAGGCATGGTCTTGGTTCTCTGCAGAAAGTTTAAACATTTTAAATGTCATATGCAGCAGATCTCAAATAGTTAAAAGGGCCATCCATACTTTGTTATATTCATCTAGAGTTCAAAAACTTAATTCCTAGTTTCCTGATAGAGACTCACACACAAAACCATGTACAGGAGGCTAGATAAAGCCTGTTTCTGGAATTCGTTATTATTCTATATGTCCATTAATATCTTAACAAAAATTTAAAATATACATTAATCTTATAAATTATGATATAATATTTATACCTTAAGAAAAGCTCTTAAAAAAAGAAAAGCTCTTAACAAGTCAAAATAAAACCAAAGAATTATGAGGTTAGTGGTGATAAAATAGTCCCTAAATTTTGGTTTTCTTTGTGTCCTAAATCAAGTGGCTCTTCTGACCTGAGGCAGAGATTCTAATTTTAACAAACAGGCTTCCATTTAGAGAAGGAGACAACCACGTTCCAACTCCCAAGGCAACTTTCATTTTCAATTGAACTGGGACTACAAAAAAAAAGACCATTTGCATTATGTGTCTGTAGATAACAGCAGAAACAAACATTTGAGAAAATTTATTAAATTTTATCCTGTTGGAGATATGATGTACCAATAGACTGACTTACTCTTTTTCTCAGGGGGATTGCTCAGAAATCAAGGATGGCTTAGACTCTGTAGTGAGTTCCAGGACAGGTTACAGAGTGAGGCCTGTCTCAAATCCATCTACCCAAAAATAAAAGTAAAAGAAGAGAAATATTTTGAAATAAGGTCTTTGTTCTTCATTTATATCAGCCCTCTGAATTCGGAAAATCAGAAGGCTTCCTTGGCAGCTGAATCTATTTCTTTTGACATAGTGTATATGAATCTTTCTGTCATATATCTCACATGGTATTTCCCTGTTTTATCCTCACAATGAAACAAAAAAGTCTTCTCATTGAATATTGGCTGAGCATGGCCAGTGAAAGACTACACCTTCATACCCTACCTGCAGTTACTACTGTGGGGAGAGGAGTCTGCAGGAAATGATGCTTAAGGGATGTGATGGCTATTTCTGGGTTTCGAATTAAAATCTGTGTCATGGAATGGTCTTCACTGAGCTGGGTCATAGAGGAGGAGAGTTCTAACAAAGTGTAGGACAGGGCTTACTGCTTGGGGGGATAGAAAAACATGAGAAACCATCCTTCAGTGTGTCTGGAAGCTACAGGCAATTAAGTGGAATCCCTCATCTGAGCTTACTATGAAAATCATCAGGGCAGTAAAAGACGATCTAAATGTTTCCTTGAGTCACTGTGGGGCACATGGGGGTCAATTTCCATGAAGACAGCTTGATTTTAACAATGGTACATCCAGATAGAAATATCTAGAAGGCAATAAAAACACCTTGGTCACAAAATAAAAGACCCCCCCCCTGAATAATTAACTCTCTGTCTTGCAGGCACAGCATCTACCACATCCACCAATGAAGAGGGACAGGTAATTATCACAAGACCCCCTGCCATGACTTCTAAGAGTATTGTCTACTAATTGTTTGTTTTCCATCTCTGCTACCTTGTACGTTTCAGAATTGACCAATATGTATTTGATCAAAATTGAATTTATTCTGTGGTGCTCATATAGTTGTGATTTCACAAGCATAAGAGGCCAGGCTTGCTTTGATCAACTAAATACTTGAGATAGAGATGGGAACAAACCTTGAGAGCCATCACATAAATGATCTTGTCTACTTTCAGAGGGAAAACCCAACAAACCCAGAGTGAACAAAGAAAAACATAACTGCCCCATGACCTTCTGCCATGATGTCTGAGGCCCTCATCTGCCAATTGTTAGTTGTTCATTTCTACCATGTTATAGTTTGTTAAATTTACTGATGAAAATAAAAATGGATTTTATTATATGATATTGTTGTGGTTGATATTTTAAAATATTGTACAATATAAATGACCAGTTCTCCAGTTAACATTTGAGACTGAGGTGGGAATGACTCATAACAACAGTAAAACAATGGACTGACAATATGGTTCAGGAACTAACTGTACTTGCTTCCAAACCTGATGACCTGAGTTCAATCGCCAACAACCATATGATGGAAGAAGAAAACAGGTTCCAAAATTTGTCCTTTGCTCTCTACCTGGGTGTCACAAGAGTGTCTGCATATACACATGCATAAATAAAATGTAATTTTTTTAAAACCTAAGGGCTGGAAAGATGGCTTTTCAAAAAACTCTGGTTTATTCTCCGCATTCACATTGTAGCTCCCATCCATCTGTAACTCCAGTTCCAGGACTTCTCATGCCTTCTTCTGACCCTGAAGGCACCAGATTTAGATACAACCACACTTCTTTTGTTCCTCTGCTGGAGACAAGACAGTACTCCCTATCTCTGGAGTCTGGATAGCTCATTGGATGACTGAGGCAGATACTGAGCTTCTGGTCCATGAACCACTCCTTAGGAGGCAGAGATCTCACCTGATGACTATGCATTAGAACTCCTCATAATGTTAAAGTATCCAACGTTTTTCTCCAGCCCAGACTCAATGACTTAAAATTGGTGTTGATGGGGTCTTAGTCATTATGTTTTCTTCCTCAGTGTTAAAGATGAACCCTAAAGCCACATTCATGATAGGTTGAACATTCTACCATTGAACTACACTCAAACCTGAAATTTATTTTTAATTCCATGAGTGACTTTAGTCTATAACATGTTGATGATTGTTACTAAATAAGAGAACAAATTAAGAGGGTAGGTTCAAAGCCTGTCACGTGAGGAGACAGCATCACCACCTGCCATAAACCATGGTGTCAATAGAGGTCTCCAGAAACTATTCAATCTCCAGAGACTCAGCATCAACCCCACTGGCATCTAGCGCAGCAATCACCAGAGACGTGATACTCCCTGCACTAGGAGAAGTGACCACTGGAGGGGTGACCCGGCCTGCACCAGGAGGCGCTACCATCTGAACCTTGGACCCATCTGGACCTGAAGGAATGAGCACCAGTGATTCAGCCATGCTTGCAACTAAATGAATGTTCATTGGAGCCACTGCTCCCAGTCAAATCAATTGAAGGAAGAGGGACCTCCTGAAGAATAAGTTCCACCTATATTAATTGGAGGAAGAGATGGGTAGACAACAAGGTAAGAATATGCTGAACAACAGAAAGAGCAATATGACACTACCAGAAACAAGTGGTTCTACAGTTGAGAACATCCCAACATAGATGAAGTAGAAGAAAATGATACTAAAAATAACTTTATGGAGATGATTTTGGCACTTAAAGAGGAAATAAAATCTTCCCTTGCAGAAATGGAAGATGCAAGCATAAACAACAGAATTCAAAAGATGAAAGAGAGAATCTCAGGCATTGAAGATACCATAAAACAAATAGATTCATTGGCCAAAGAAAATGTTAAATCCAACTAATAGTTAAAATAAAATATCCAGGCAATCTGAAACACCATGAAAATACTAACAAACTCCATAAGGAAACTCTTCGATGCCCATCTTCCTCTTGAAGTAGGTTGGTGCTCCAAGAGCAGACATGTCTCATTGTCATGAAAATCCCTAAATTATTAAATCATTAAATGCAATATTCTGTAGTCTTTGAAAGATATGAAGAATGCCTATCTAAGTAAAATATATCTCTATAAATCTAGAAAATCTAACATGACTACAAGCTTGACTATTATCAATGATTATCCATTAACAACCTATATTTCCTAATTATACATTACATTTTTAAATGAACTACACAATCACAATACCTTAATCAAGATCAGAAATACATATACATAAACAAAATTGACCTTAAATTTATATCAATAAAGCAAATCCATATCAATGCAAATTATCCATGTTTATATCACATCTACCTTTAAATTTAAAAGAGCATTTATAAACAATATTTAGGAATATGGGTGCAGTTTTTTCTCTCCAAACTGCTTCGTGGTGTATGGGGGCACAGTTAATCAGGTTCTTTATGGTGTATCCTATGTGCTAGGTTCATCTCAGTCTGTAGTTGAATGAAGTAAATTTTTGAGGGTGTTTACAGAAACCTTTCAGGAGGGTGTGCTCTATCATACTATATTGGTTTAGAAGCAATCCACAGGGTCTCATCTTCTGTGAAAACAAAAGAAGAACCTCTTTCCTTAGACCCAAATTTGGCCGCCGCCGTGCGTCGGTCTGCCCGCCGCCGCCGTGTGTCCAGTCATGATACCTTTAGAACATACATGCTGGTTTAGCTTAGCAGATCACACATTGAAATGTCTCTCTGTATTTAGTTCCTTCACAGTAAAAAAAATTCAAAGAAAACACAATAAACATAATCTAGACTCTCTGTGTATTTTCCATTTTTACATGGCTTATTTTTATTTCTTTTAATCTATAACTATCTGTGCTCTGTATCTTTAAAGACTTTCCCTTTTTTTCTTAAGGCATTAACTTTATACTTTTTTTTCTTTCTCCCAAGCCTGTGTACATATAAATGTACATATAGCAGTATGTCCCATTTAGAGGTCTTTTATGTCTGAATCTGTCCTATTGCATTGTCTTTAATTCTCTACTGTCTTGAAGAGCATTTAAAATGCTAAGCTCTTAAGAATCTAAGCTGCTGCAACAATCCCAGGTCAAATGCACTTACTGCCTGCTTACCCTGCCCAGTCCAACATGGCAGAGCCACCTGTGCCCCTGAGTCAGTTGTGCCTCTGAGCCTCAGAGTGGCAGGCTGTTCTAGATGTTGGCTCCACCTCTCTTCAATTTCAAAATGGTGGATGTACCATTTCTGCTAGCTCTGGGGTCTCCAGGAAGGAGCCACACTCAGCACTTTAACTCTGAGAATGAGCTTTTTTATCTGAGTTATAGACAAATCTGCCAGGCAGAGCACTGCGCAGCCTGGAAACATATCTCTGTTTGTCTGCAGAAATCTGCCATGCTCTCCTGCTTGTGCACACCTAGTAAACCTGATTCCGGTGACTGCCCAGGCAGGGAGTGCTGAGTCACAAGCATGGTCTCAGCCACTTTCCTTCCAACCCTAGTGGACAAAGAAACACCTGGGGCCCACAATGTCATTAAAATGCTTTATAGCTGGAGTTTGTCCAGGTGGCACAGCCCAGGAAGCCACATTTTAAAACTGCACAGCTATTTTCCTGCTATGGCTGCTGAGTCAGGAAAATTTCTCTGTGCCACCCTGCCAGCAAACAGCAAAAAGCTGTGTTAAACTCTATATTTGTGTCTAGAATTCCTTTTCAAGCCCTCTTAGGTTTTACATGGAGTTAGTTTTCTGGCTCAGTAGTTAGGACAATGATGTTGGCTCAGTAGTTAGGACAGTGATGATGGCTCAGTAGTTAGGATAGTGGTGATGGCTCAGTGGTTAGGGTAGTGATGATGGCACAGTAGTTATGATAGGGATGATGGCTCAGTAGTTAGGATATTGATGATGGCTCAGTAGTCAGGATAGGGATGATGGCTCAGTAGTCAGGAATGCTTCCTGCTCTTCCAGAGGACTGAAGTTCAATACCCAGTACCCAAATGGCATCTTACAACTGACTGTAACTTCAGTTCCATTGGATCTGACACTTTCATATAGACATAAGTTGAAACACAATTAATAAAAATGCAGGGTCAGAAATTATGGTTCAACCTGAAGAACTGAAAAGCAAAACAGACAGTCACTGGCTCTTACCTCAACCTCAGTCTGAAATGCCAGATCCTGCCTCTCAGAATCACAGAAGGAGACTGTGTCTGAGAGCTGTCTCTTCCCATCTTATATTCATCTTTAGGGCTGAGATTAAAGGCATGCACCACCCGATTTTTGTGGCAACTAGAGTGGCTACTGTAATTAAAGGTGTGTATTACCAAAATCTGGTCTATAAAGCTAAACAATGGGACTGTTTTACTCTTAGTTCTTTAGGCAGTCTTTATTTATTAAAACACAACTGAAATGCCACTAAGTTCTCAAAAACACGAATGCATATAAAACAAAAGGAGAAGAGGAGGAGGAGGAGGAGGAAAAGAAAGAAGAGAAGGAAGAAGAAGAATGATAATGATGATGATGATGATGATGATGACTTTGATGATGACAAAAAAGAAGGAGAAGTCATTAGAACAGTGTGGTGTGCACACAGCCAGCCTCAGTGGCAGGAGTCTGTACAAGAAAGGCATGTATGATGTCAATGGGTTGCAGACTCTCTGGGTCTCTCACCTATACCCAGGACACAGGGAATCTCTGTCCTTGTCCACGTGATGACACAGAAGCTAAAATGAAGGGCTATGGATGATGATGCAGACTCAAGGTAGGGACTCACCAGACATGAGGCCCTGGACCAGCAGCCCACTTCCTCCTGAGCATTATCAGGACCCTGGGCTTCTTCAAAGGTGTTTCTGAAAGATGGTCCTCAGATCTTCAGAAGATGGCAGGTGTGCCCCTGTCCTTGATTTTATCCTTCTCTGCCCTTGGTATTTCTCCCCTCCACACTTCCCACTAGAAATATTATGTTTCCTTCTCTATCTCCCCAGCATCTCAGAAAGTTTGAGCCCATGACATCCCTTACCTAATTCCATCAGATTCTAGGCATTGGTTCAGTCTCAATGCAGTCTCTGAGAGCTCAAATGTTGTACCCAAAGCCCACTGGGCCCTGCAGATAATTGTATCATGTGATGCAATTACCAGGGCTTCTTGACTCTGTACTCTCCTGATTCACAGGTAGAAGGGAACCTGAGGAAAGAGACAAGCTTAGGCTTAAACAAGTTTAGGGCCTCATAGCCTCAAGCTTACCATTTTCCCCAATGTTGGTTCTGAACTATCTGACAGCTAGGCTACATGAAAGGACAGGATTAGGGTCAAAATGCTGCCTGGGGCTAGAGCTGGCTTAGTCATTGAGTGCATTCCACTCTTACAGAGGACCAGGGTCTGATCCCCAACACCCTTATCTGGTGACTAGCTGCTGGCTCCAGGACTCCAACACTGTCTTCTTGCCTTGTCAGCCACATGAACTCATGTGTATATACTGCCACACAGAAACATGCACATACTTTAAAAGAAAATAAATTCATTTCAAAATGGTTTGTTCATGAAATAAGCAGAATTGGAGACTTGTATAAAATGTGAGACAGTGAAAGGAGCCCTGAAATCTGACCTCAGGCCTGGCCTCAGGATGCTGCTGTCAGGCAGACCCCATCCAGCCCTGTCCCTGTGCATTTGAGCTAAGGATGAGAACAGAGACCTGGTCTGCACAGGCAAGAAGACTGCTGGAGACCTGACAGGACACAGGCTCACCGAGTCCCCTGGTTCCTCAGAGAGAGCAACAGAGAGGAACCTGGTGTATCCTGAATGATCCCTCAGGCTCTGACCCAGAGTGTCTATCAGGCTGGAGGATCTCCCTTCTACAGGCCCACTTCCCCTGATGTCTGAGGGAAAGCTTTTCTTGGTCAGGATCCAGTTCTGGATTTTGCTGCTAGCCTGAGAGAGAACCTGAAAGTGTTTGGCCCTTTTTCCCCATCTCTCTCTAACCCAAGTATTCTCCCTCCAGAGCCAGTTCAGCCAAGGACAAGATAAAATAGAGATTACAGCCAACCCTGGGGAAATCTGTTCCCATAGACACAGGGGTGACTAACAGTTTGGGTTAGAATGGAGTTGTGTTGCTGCTGTTATTGCCTTCGGGTTGCTGCTTTATTTTCCATCTTTGGGTAAATAAGGTTACTAGGAAGACCTGGCCCAGCGTGTCCCTGGTATGCCCCTTTGCAATCCACTAGCTCTCCCCTTTTCTCCTCTCCTTTGCCACCACATTCCAGGAAAGAAAAAAGGAACAGTATCTCAGAGCAGTCCAAGTGAGGGTAGAGAAATACTTTTTTTTGTTTTCCTTTTCTCCATCTGGGAGGAGCCCTCCCTGGTGAGTTAGTACTCAGGCTGACTTCCTGCTCTCAGCTGTGGGCCACAACACAGTCTGTCTGGAAGCCTGTGAGGAGACCAAGGATCAGAGCTCACCCTCCCAAGCCCCGAGCAGGAGTTGGGAGACAGAAGCTAGCAGCTTCAGCAACAGGTGAGTCTTTCTCCCTCTGTAACTTTGCCCTCTGACAGCTTGGGCGATTTCATGTCTTGATTAAGTGGCTGAAGCTTCAGTCAGTCCAAAGCCCTGGACGTGAAGAAGCTCTGCACTGTAGTTAGAGAGAGACAAGAGAATGGGAGGGAAAGGGAGAGACACAGAGACACAGAGACAGTCAGAGTGTGACAGAGACACAGAGAGAGACAGCGAGACAGAGAGCAGACACGGAGACAGAGAGAACTCCCGGAGCTTTTGAAACTGAGTAAGATATCTGCTGATGAGGCCAGCTTGTCATCACCCACAGTCATAACGTTCTTGTGTGCAGCACAGTCAGCTGTCAGGAGACTCTGGTCACAGCTGTCACGGACTCCTGGTGACCTCTGTGACAGGGTTCTGTTGTTATCTCCTGAACTCTGCCTCTCTCTGCTTTCACTGACTTAGTGACTTAAGTTGACTTAACTCAGGGAAGAAATTAAAATAGCAGATTCTCAGGGTCAATAGGGTCAGTACCCTCTGTTGTGGTCTCCTACCTGTCTGGCAGGACTTGTCACCTAGGAAGCTGTCCCAGGCTCACTCCTGGTCTGAGCTTTCCCTGTCAGATTTTGATCCAAGGCAAGAAAGGCCCTGGCTATCAGCAGCCATGGCAAGCTGCACGTTTTTATTTTCATGTCAGCGTCCTGTCCTAGGAGGGTGATTCCACTGACAAGGAAATGGTCGACCTCTGTCTGCTCCACAGTAGTGATCAGATGTGCTCCTCAGAAACAGTGCCAGTCAGGATGTTTGCTACTGCACAGGAAGTGATACATTTCCCGTACTGCCATTGAACCAAGGGCCTCTACTGTGCTTGGCTATGTGTCTCTATCTATTTTAAAGATTTTAGAATCTGTGTTTTGCTATGTTACTCAGGCTGGCCTGAACTCATTCCACAGTGTGAAATGGCCTTGAACTTATGATCCTGGAGCCTCAGTCTTCTGAATGAGTGGGGATACAGGCCATTGTTCAAAAGCTTTATATCTTGTGGAGTTATAGAAAGTATAAAACCACTTTAACTGTCCCCCGTACACAATCCCCAAAGCTCCTAGTCCTGGGTTCAGCCTTTACATATGTATATTAGTATCTCTTGGTCTTTTTGTTGTGTAGTATAGGCTGTCTTAAAACTTGTTATGTAGACCAGGCTGACCTGGGACTCACAACAGAGACCCACCAGCTCCTGCCTCCCAGGTACTGGGATTAAAGATGTGCTCGTCAAGTGCCACGGACCGTCCCTCTGGGAGACTGCTATCCACGGGAGAACAGGGGTGAAGGCTATAGGATAGTCAGGATACGACGCAAGGGAATGACAGACAGACACACTGTGTAGTGAGAATCTGCTGCAATTTTACTAAAATCATGCTTTCATTATATAGTATTCAAACAAAGAACAAGTCAGAAAGTCATGTATCATTAGTTGGCACAGTATGAAAACTTCTTTTAGCAATGTTTAATTTTAGCAATGTTTAAAATTGTATTATCAGGAACAGGTGTTTAGACACAAAGCGTCTTTAGAAGGGGAATTCTTGTCCTTGGGACTGTAAGCCTCAGGCAAGTGGTTACATCTTATGAACAGAAAGTTTCTGTCTTATTATTGCTATCGTGTCCCTTCCTCCTCTTAACCCTTTATTTCATCTAGTGATCAAATATGCCTAATCAGTTCTCTGCACTTGTTGAACTATATTTTTTAGTACCTTCTTATGCGGCAGACATCATGGGGGTTGGGGTCTAGCAAGCCTATCCATAAAGTTGAAAGTATAATATAACAGTTTTTGTCCATCAACATTAACCCATCTATTCCCTTGCTCATCATAGGCTCCTGTATAAGGAAGTGAATCAAGGAGTGCGCTGGGGAATTTTCTCTAACTCTCCTTTTCTCTCTAAATCTGATTCACTATGACGATTCCCTCGTAACATATCAACTTTCTGTTTCATAATTAATAAAGTTTCCCAAGCTCATGTGGCGTGGGGCATACTTTATTTCCTCAAGGACTGCTTTAATGAACGGTGGGGCCGAGCCAAGGACGTACTTTGATCTCTTGGTAAGCGGTCAGCTAAAAACAGAAAAGATTAGAAACACAGAGAAAGATCATGCAGGGTGCCAGGAGGGCTCGCTCCCAAGGCTATCTCCAGATATGAGATCTGCCTACGGCATCAGGTCCTATCTTGACCACTGATTGCCAGGGGACCGCCTGGGGCTTCGCTCCAGGAAGCTCTAACCCCAATCCTTCAGCAGGCAAAAGCCAGCGCAGAGGCATTTTGTCACTACACAGCAGTCGCTGCTGTGGACGTGGCAGTCAAGTTTGGATCTTCCTTATCTTCTAAAACATTTACTGGGAGTGTTTGTATATGCATGCCTGTGCACATGAGTTTGTGCATGTGGGGGAGACAGAGAGAGTCAGTCATAGTGACAGAGACACAGAGAGAGTGCCATTAGGTCAGGTGCCTTTGGAGGCCTGAAGAGGGTATCAGATCCCTGTAGTTGGAGTTACAGATGGGTCTGAGCTGCCAGACATATGTGCTGGGAACTAAGCTTTCATCCTTTGGATGAGCAGTCTGTGCTCTTAACGTCTTTTTATCTTTTCCTAGGCTTTTCTGTGCTTCACATTTTCATAAATACATAATGTGTATTTTCATTTTGTAATACTCTCCTGTGTTTTGAGTCTTAGATTATGTAAAAAGTGGAAACCTTATCGAAGTTTGCACAGAATGTTTGCACTTTTTCTTTATCCCTTTTCACCAGCTACCCACTCTTCAGAGTACTTTTGTTTGTTTCGAGACAGGGTTTCTCTGTGGCTTTGGAGCCTGTCCTGGAACTCACTCTGTAGACCAGGCTGGTCTTGAACTCCCAGAGATCCGCCTGCCTCTGCCTCCCGAGTGCTGGGATTAAAGGCGTGCGCCACCATCGCCCGGCTTCAGAGTACTTTTATATGAACCAAGAGATTCACAATTTTGTTATGCTTATGTATGCATGTGCGTGCTTGTGTCATGGAGTCAGAGGACATTGTAGAGGAGTTGGTTCTTTCCTTCTACCTTGTGGTTTATGGGATCCAACAGATCCTTGGTTGCTGGGTCATTTCCTAAGTCATCTCACTGGGAGTTTGAAACCAGCCTGCTTTGGATGGGTTTATATCAGTCACTGTCACAATCACTGTCATCAACAAGCTGTAAGAACAGTGGTCACATAATTCATTTAATTTAATTTAATTTGTCTTGTGTCTAAAACAAACAAGAGTGGAGTTCCTGAGACAAAGGCCAGCAGTGACCACTTGCTCGTAGGTGCCGCCATAGGGCCTGTGAGGAGGCAGCGTCAATGCTCTTCCTGCCAATAGCAGATGAGATGAGGAGTCTCCCCTCTCTCTGCCCGAGACTGCAGAGGTGACAGAGATGTGTGTTCATTTGCATCCTCCCTATTATTATCTTAATTAGAATACTTTAGTTTTGTGAAGAGACACCATGACACAGGCAACTCTTTTAAAGAAAAGCATTTAATTGGGGTGGCTTGATTACATGTTTAGAGGCTCGGTGCATTAGCATTAGAACAGGGAGCAGGGCAGCATGCAGGGAGATGAGGCGCTGGAACTGAGAGTCCTATATCATGACTCAGAAGCAGCAGGAGGTTGATTTACTGTCTGAGTAAAGACTGAGAAAAAGACCTCAAAACCCGGCTCCACAGTGACTCACTTCCTCCAACAAGGCCAAACCTCCTAATAGTTCCAGTCCCTTTGGGAGCCGGAAAATGGGTTGCTTTTCCTGTGCACTGACTGGGAAATTCCCTCCTCTAGGACTTGTTTAGTTTTCACTGCCCTTAATCAGATGTTATCCCTTCTTTTGTGCATTTGCTAAATATGCTGGGAACTGTGGGTAAGACCCATCTGTTTGGTGAGTTCTGCTTTCTATAAAGTTGAAATTGAAAAAAAATTAGTATTGATCTTGTAAGAAAGAGGCATCCGCAAATAAAACCACACGGAAGGCACTGACAAAATCAATCACCTTTGTGGTTTAGCGTTTCCACCTGCAGAACCTGGATTTGAACCTAGAGTTTCTTCCTTATCAGGCAAGTTCTCTACCTCTGAGCTATAACCCAAGCCCCCTTTTTACTTTGAATTTTGAGACATAGTTTCAATCCGTTGCCCTGGCTGATCTTGAAACTGATTCTCCTGCTACAGCTTTCTGAGTAGCTAGACTCATAGGCTCACCAGGCCTGGCATGAGGTTTTTCCTTGGTTGGTTTGACCACCTCTGGTCTTCAAGTAATAGATCTTAGTCTATCTTTATTCAGAGAAAGTTTCTTTTCTTGTATCTGTCTCCGTTTTAGGCAAAAGTATTCTACACTGGAACCACATTAGCCACCCCGGTTCTCACTTGCCCCTGAAGTTTTCCTCTTTCTGATTTTTAACATCCCACCCATAAGAGCTGTCTCCAACACTTCCTCCATGACAAAAACTTAATTTTGAGTAGGCTTGTTTTTTGTCATTTCTAAATTTAAAAAAAATTGTGTGTGTGTGTGTGTGTGTGTGTGGTGTGGTATGGTGTGTGTGTCATGGTGCATGTGCAGAGATCAGACAGAGGTCTCTGTTGGGTGTTGGTCCTCACCTCCCATCCCATGTGAGGCAGGTTCTCTCCTTTGCCTCTGTGCCCACTAGGCTGGTTGGATGGTGAAGCTGGCAGGGCCTTTCCTGTCTCCTTTTGAGCTGCAGATGTGCTGGAACTGCAGATATGCCTGTTGTATCTGACTTCTATGTGAATTCAGGGGATTTGAACTCAAGTCTTTACACGAGTGGGCCAAGCACTAAACCGTCTTCCTAGTCCTGACTTCTAATTTAGTTTTTGAAATTATTTTATTACTTTATGTGTATGGGTGCTTTTCCTACATGTATATATCCATACAACATGCCATGCCTGGTAACCCAGAAAGCCATAAGAGGATGTTAAATTCCTCACGAGTTATAGACACTTGTGAATCATCATTTGGGTCCTGGGAACTGAACCTGGGTCCTCTAGTATCTTCAGCACCTGAGATTCTTTCTTCTATCTCTCGTGTTCTGTTGGTTATACTTTTCTCCGTAGCTCCTGTTCATTTACCCAGATTTTCCATAGCCAGCCATCCCTTGGTTTGTTTCTTCTTTATTACCTCCATTTCAGTCTTCAAGTCTTGAACTGTTTCCTTTACCTGTTTGATTTCTTTTTCTTGTTTTTCTTGGGTATCTTTGAGGGATTTATTAATTTTTTCTAACTTTTTGCTTGTCTTCTCTTTCATTTCTTTAAGGAAGTTTTTCACTTCCAGTTTAAGGGTCTCCATCATTTTCCTAAGGTTATGTTTAAAGTCAATTTCTTCTACTTCTTCTGTGTTGGTGGATCTAAGGACCCCACAGATGGAAAGGGGTGCTTGGGGGCAAGTTGGAATGGGATAAATAAAGCCAGTAGCCAGGGAGACTCCCCTCTGAATGGCCAGAAACATTTATGGAATTGGAGGGGCCTCTACTCCATTTCTAGGATGACCTGCTGGCAGGCAGGCACACACTTACCCCTCCAGATGGATCTCCTCAGTACAGGAGCAGGGACACTTGCTGGGCCAGGGACCTTGCAAACAAAAGGGCAGGCTTGGCAGGGGCAGGGTCCTGTGGAACAAAGAAGCCCCTGAGGCAGGAGCACTCACCGCTGGCTCCCCAAACCCTCAGCCCCAAAGCAGGCTGAGTTGGGGGATCCTAGGACCCTGCAGATGAAAAAGGGTGCTTGGGGGCAAGATGGAATGGGAAAAATAGAGAAAGTCAGTAGCTGAGGTGACTCCCCTCTGAATGGCCAGAAACATTTAGGGAATTGGAGGGAGCCTGTATTCTGTTTCAGGGGTGTCGGGCCAGGCAGGCACACACTACCCGTCTGGATGGATCTCCATGAGTTTTATAAACAAGGCTCAGAGGTTCCTTAGTCACAGGTACCAGAACTCTCCTCTGAAGTTAGCAAAGTGTCAGTTTGGTTACCCATTGTGTCTGTGACACAGGCTGGCTTCTTCTGAGCCTGGACCTAGCATTGTTTAGTATTCTTGGTCTGTCCAGGTTAGAAGCTATGCTCTGGAGTTAGGCAGATGGCCAGTTTGACTGTTGGCCTAGGTGAGGCCATAGGTTAGGCTCTTACCAGATGGTGTGCCTTGCTATTGGACTGATTGGATGGGTAGAGCCAAGCTTATGCTTTGCTGTGAGGCAGAGCCAGCATATTGTCCTAAGGAGTGAGCTGTCTCTGGAATGCTGGCTAGGAAGACCTGGTCATTGTGGTCCCAGGACAGATGGAGGCACAGCCTGGCTTTGCAGATCACAGCAGAAGACTGGGATCTCCCATAGGATGTCACTGATAGTGGAGGCACAGCTCCACCCCCATCATGTTATCCCTGCCCCATTCTTTGTTTCTCCTTGGTCTGCTGCTGAGTCGTCAGTGTTCTTCATTGAGGAAAACAGAGGGAGCCCTCCCGTGGGCACCTGAGAGTTCTGGGGAGCCGTATGCTCTCATTTGGTTCTGTTTCCTCATTATAGAGAAAGAAATCTTAGGTCCAAGGTCAATATCTTGGTAAGGCCTGTTCCAGCCTGAGCAAGGGGCAAAGCAGTCAAAATGAGACTGCATCTCTTGTCCTTCTGATGTGGGTTTTGTGGTCCATGGGTAAGGTTCAGCCTCATCCCCCAGTTATTGTTGGGGGAGGGGGGAGTTGCTGGCTGGTCCTCCTGTGCTGGGGATTAAACTCATAGACATCCTGACATCAGCAAGATATGTTTTTAACCTAATTGCTGTCTGTCACCTCCTGACATCCCTGTTTAGACTGGGGAAACATCCAGTCATACAGTGTTTAAGTTAGAGTTTCTACTGCGGTAATAAACACCAACACCAACTTGGGGAGGAAAGGGATTTTTGTCTTACACATCCACATCACAGTCCTTCATCAAAGAAGTCAGGGCAGGAACCTGGAGGCAGAAATTGAAGCAGAAACTATGGAGTAACACTGCTTCCTGGCTTGATCAGTTTGCTTTCTTATGTATACCAGGACCATCTGTCCAGGTGTGGCAATGCCCACAATGAACTGGGCTTTTCCACATCAATCTCGAGTCAAGAAAATTCCTCAGAGACTTGCTCACAGGCAATACAGACATAGGCCTTCCTTTTTTTAATTAAGGTTCTTCTTTTCAAATAACTTTAGCATTGTCAAGTTTACAAAAAAATAAAACAAAAAAATAAAAACCCAAATCAGTTAGAACACAATGTGTATTTGTTATTGAAAATATCTGCCTTTTCCCGTACTCAGAGGAAAAAATATTCAGCATGTCACCTTTATTGATCTGCTTATCTTTTTGAATTTCTACTTCATATTTTTGACAGGTTTTTTAGTTTAATTTACTTGCTTTAAAATTTACCCATTTTAATGTACAATCCAATGACTTTTTACAGAGCCTGCAACCAGCACCACAGTTCAAGTTTGGAATTTTGGACTTGGAATCCCTAGAAGAACCCCCCACAGCTGTGTACAGTCCATTCTTGGTCCCCTTAGTCCACGCAACCACACAAACATCTGTCTCTATAGATTTCATTTCTGGGCATTTTATAGATATGGAATTATACATTGTGTGGCCATCTTTATTTGTCTTCCATTATTAAGAAAAATTTTTGAGATTCAGTCACTCAGAATGTATTAGCATTTTGTTTCTTTTATTGAGGAATAATATTTTATTGTATAAATTTCCAGTTTTACTTTTCTACACTCAAACTAATGGCCATTTCAAACATTCCAAACTTTTGGCTATCAATAATGCTAGCAGAAATATTTGCATATAAATTAGTGAGAATATTCCTTTTCACCTGTATAAGAACACCTAGTAGTGGAATTTTTAAGTCATAGTTAACATTGTATTTCACTTTATTTTTGTCTGTATGTGAATATGTAGTATACATGCATGCATAAACATTCACATGCATGAGGGCTTATGTGTGCAGATGCATATGTATGTGTGTGCACATGTGTGATTCTGGGAGTAACAAGGCAGGGTCTTTCTCATCTGAACCCCAAACTTGACAAATTATTGGACTTGACTCATTGTATTTATTGGGGATAACTTAAGACCACCTATCTTATGTATGTTACTCCTTTACAGTCTTTCTTTCATGTACAAAACCTTACATTTCGCAAGCATATAGACTGATGGACCAGATTATCATTTCCCCATGGTATTTCCCCCTTCCAGGATGTCCACAAAAGACGAGGCCACAGAGATGATTCCCTTTGATCCTGTATTCCTGAAATTCAAAAGACATAAAGTGATGATTTCAAATGCAATAAAGAAGCCATTTGCTTTTCTTGAGGTACTCCGTGACAACAATCTCATCACTGAAAAAATGTACACAGTAAGTGGGGTTTGTTATATTCTAACCTTGAAACACGCCCCAGATTAAATTACACTTTGATATCTTGAAGCCAAACTGGATGATTGGCAGGTTTTTAAAGCTGGACTTAACTTTAAAAGTAAGATTTTATTTCTCATGTGAATGTATGTTTTTGTGCTTTTGCATGCTCATGTGCATGTTTGTGTGTGTGTGTTCACATATGTGCTGTACATATATGTTACATGTAGTTGTGAGTCATCTGATGTGGGTGCTGGGAATCATCCTGGGTCCTCTATTACAGTAACACATCTTCTTAACCATGAGCCAACTCTCCAGAACCCCAACCTAATTTCTGACAAAGAATTATTGACAAAGTTTTCATAGCACTTTGTAGAGGTATTCCTAACAATAATACATTCATCAATTATAAATTAGAATTCTGGACTCAGGTTTAAAACCTGCATATTCTGGGAGTGATATGTATCATGTAAATATTTTGAGAAGTGTTCTTTCCATGTATTAAGGGGAGGAGAAGCAGAGGCCTCAGGAGATAGATAGTTCTGCTTCTGTCTGAGGGGAAGGTGTTCTATGCTGCTTCCAGGATGAGTATTGTTGAAGAAAAGCCAGAGCAGAACAGAGGTTTTCCATAGATGTGCAATATCTCAAGCATTTTAAACCATAGAGTTCATAAAATTCAAACTCAACTAAACTAAAATGATAAACTAAAATTTAAAAGTGATTTTAATTTACTGTTGAATTATTTTATTGAACTGACTTAGTGAAATTTCCATGAGGACATTTTATTTTAATTAATGTCTTTTTAAAAACCTATATCTGAGTATATTACAAACTACAGAGTTTTTTATTTGGACAAATTTTTAAAAACATTTTATGCTTGTTTTATATGTATGAGTGTTTTGTCTTCATGTATGTCTATGCATCACAGTGTCCCTGGTGCCTCTGAAGGTCAGAAGAGAGGGCACCAGATCCTCTGTGGCTGGAATTACAGATGATTGTGAACATCATCAGGGTGCTGGCAATCGAATCTGGGAACTCTGCAAGAGCAGCAAGTGTGCTTAACAACTGGGCCCCTCTCTACAACCCTCCAGTTGTTTTTTGTTTGTTTGTTTGTTTGTTTGTTTGTGTTGCCTTATGAATTTGCCTCCCTCCAGCAGAGTTCACAGTCAGAGGGAATGAACACCTCATTTCCTACAGGAGGCCAGGAGGTGTCTGAGTAACAGAACATCATTGGCCACCTACTTTGTTAGTTAACCTTTAAACAATAAAAAAGAGTACTTCTGTTTTTATTTTTATGTGTACACGTGTTTTTCCTGACTGTATGTGTGCATAAAACTTGTGGGCCTGGTGCCCATATTTTACAGAAATCAGCACCAAATCCCTTGGAACTGGAGTTACAGGTGTTCCTGCATTGCTGTGTGGGTGCTGGGAACTGAATGAAGGTTCTCTGCAAAAGCAGAAAGTATTCTTAACCATGAATCATCTTTCCAGCACCCCCATTCTAGAAATATTATTACATATATTATTTATTTACTTATAAGTATGTGTATGTATGTATTGTGTGTGCATATATGTATGAGCCTGCTCCTCTGCATGTGTAGAAGTCAGAGGACAGCCTGTCGCTAGTTGGTTCTCCACTTTCACCATCTGAATCCCAGTGACTGAACTCAGACCATCAGAATTGGTGACAAGTGCCTATACCGCACTGAACCATCTCACCAGCCCTATTGTTAACCCTTAACCCAAGTTTTACTTTCTTACAAAATGTGGCCTTCTTACATGTCATAAAAATGGGGGTGGAAGCTCAAAGTCTAGTGGGTATTTTGAGAGAGAAAATATTTACTTGTTTCATGAAGTAGCCATGCAAATATAAAACTTTGCATTAGAAGATATGTCTGTTGCGGATTGAGGTACAACTAACTATTATTGCTTCCTAGAGCTTTTCTGTGACCTGGAAGCCTGCACTTATACCTTCTCCTTTAAATTTTTTAAGGATATTAAAGATTCCTGTACAAACCTGGTTCCTGTACCCCTAGAAGAACTGGAGAAGAAATTTGACCCGAATGTTCTAGAGGTATTGTTCAGTCCTGGAAATCTGATGGAATACCCATTTCCAAAGACTTTGAAAAGGGTAATTTGGTTTAATATCCCCCTCTGAGATCCCAGTCATTAATATATCAAGCATATATTAAATGTCTACCAGGTGTCATATAATGCAGCATGATTAGGAATGTACTAGTTAACAAAATTAATGCCCGTGCATAATCATAGCACTTATATCTAATGGTTAGAGTTGACACGTTCCCGAGGTTTGCTAGACTGGATATTTAGACTGAGAAGACAATGAGAGTCCCCACCAGCATCAGGCTATGGAGAAGAGGACAGGAAGAACTTGGTCCCAGTAGGGTAGCACTGCTGTGTCTCTTCAGTGGAGCCCTTATAATATTATACACAAGAGTCCATCAGTTTCACTACCACCCACCTTGAGTGACAGCCCAGCTGTGGGTTGCAGGATTCATCTTATCTTAGCACCACATGCTCATAGAAATCAACAATGTGTGAGCCAGTTCTTCAGCCCCATCTTGTCCATCTTTAAAGCCTGCCCATCATCAAGCTTTCAGATCCTAGACCTTCCATCCAGGTCTTATACTTGTGACAGCCTGGAAGTTATATTTAGCTTCTATTTTTTTCTGTTTTGACATCTACCTTCTCTGCCCTCTGAACACTGGAATAGGTACAAATGTGCCTTCTACTTTTTTGTTCTGACTTGAGTGTCTCCTTTCTGTATGGGAAGTATAAAATCTCCCTTGTGGAGTCTTCCCTGTCCCAGGACATGATGGGTGAACTCTGTATGTGGGACACACTAAACTTGGAGTGATGAGAAGACTGGAAATTCCTAAATGTGCAATGCAGAAATGCTGCCCCTTATCACTGCTAGAGATCTCTAATGGCTTCTTTCTCTTACTCACTCTCCCTTCCATTTCAGTCTTGCCACAGAACAAATTGTGGTCCAAAGAAATTGATAGAAGGGACCGGAACTCACAACTCAGTCTTGAACAAGGTAACTATACCTGGAGAGTAGTTCTTATTGCCATAGAGACTATAAAATAAAGGTGATCCTTAGCAGAATGTGTCTTGGGGAAAAACAGAAAGCAGTGAGGGGGTGGCACAAATTACCCAGGAGAAGCTGGGCACTCAAATTCTGAGGCAGAAAAATTGTGAGCTTGAGAACAGCCAATTGTACGTAGTAAAACTCCCTCAAAAACAAAAGATACCTGAGAAGTCAATTAATTTCTATTCATATTAGGAACTTCAGAGCAGATAGTTTGACCTCGCGTGTTATGGTAGGGCATGACACCAAAGCAAGGGATTGGGAGAAGCAAGGCTGTTCACCTCATGGTGACCTGGAAGAAGGAAAGAGAGAATTTGCCTGTGTCTTTCAAGGATACACCTCCAATGATATAACTTTCTTCAGCTCGAATCTGCCTGTTAAAGGTAGCACCAACACCTACTAGTGCCATCCTGAGGGACAGACCTCTAATATATGAGTCTTGGAAGGAGGGGGTGCTTGAAATTCAAAGTGATTAGCCTCTAGTGTGATGTAGAATCCACCCAGAGCAACCATGACAATAGACAGTCAGCCTGATGCCCAGGATCAAAGAACCAGTGTCAGTAGCCAGATTGAAAGAGACTGACTACTCAGAAACAGTTGGGTCTTAGAGAAGCCTCGGAAGGAGATGGCCAGTATGGAACTGTGAAAGGTGAAGCAGTGTGGTCCACGGTGGCATCCAAGAGGAAATATTCTGTAAGAGAAATGTTCTTGATTTGTGCTGCCCTTATATACACTGGTCTCTGACACCAGAAGTGTTGTGAATGGCGTTTTTCCACACCAATCAACTCTCCAGATTTCAACAAGGTGTCTTATGATGTAATTACATTCTGACAAAGGCTTCAGTGCCACAAGACAACAGTCTACTTCATATGCTGGTTACAAATTTTGGGGTGTGGCCCATGCTTCTGGTTAACTGAACCCATGGCTCCTCAGGCTACAGAACTGTTAGCATAGCTCATGAACCTCAAGTAAACATTAGCTTACAATTTATTAGAAAAGTTATAGCTCAAAAATAGTCAGCTAAGGTGAGGGGAGTGCATACAAGCACAGTGTCTTGAGTTTGATCCCCTAAACTTGTGTAAAAAAAAAAAGACAGCTCAAGACACAGGGGCAGGAGGTATAATCCTAGTACCAGGGAGGCAGAGACAGGCAGCTCCATTGAGATCACTGCCCAGGAAAATTGGTGAGCTTTAGTCCAGTGAAAGATTCCATCTCTACAAAAAGAGGTTGGTGCCACCTGAGGAATGACACCCAAAGTTGTCCTCAGCTCTCCACACACATATGCACACGAACAATAACCACATGGGAGAAAGACACCCCAAGGAATAATGGGGAGAGAACACAGCACTCTCTTGTCATCCCTGGGCACACCACCTTTCCTGCACTATGGAGTTTGTCAACCCAAATCTCTCTGAACAGAGTCTCTTAGAATCTTTAATAAAAGTTCCATCATACAGGCATGGTGAATAAAATCAGTAGCCATGTGATCAAGTCAACTTCTAGGTCTCCTCACCTTGTAGGTCAGAGTTCCCATGCTGTCATCATGTTTTGTTCCCCTGGCAACCAGCCCTCCATTCCTAAGGGCTTTCCAAACTTTATTTCTGTAATGTGCACTGCAGTATTACTGAGGAAGGCCAGCTATGCTCAAGGGTAGACTGACTCTTTTCATCTTAATCACTTGGGGTCTCATCCAGGATTTGAGGAAACAGGGGATAAAGACCAAAACAGCCATTTCTTAGTATGTCACAGTCTCACGCTTGATGTTAGAAGAGATGGATTCGATATGACAAATGTTGCTTGAGAACAACAATATTGCAGAAGAAAGATAGACAGAGGAAGACATACAGCAAGAAAGTGATAGAGGTGTAGGAAGTTTACCCAGATTCTTTGAGACAGAGAAATGACGGAATGAAATGAATGAGAACAGAAAGAATAACAGACAATGGTAGAGGGAACCATGTGGCTAGTTTCCTGCTTTGGTTATCATTTGATTCCTGGCAACCCAAGCTGGTATGAAGTATGGGCATCATTTAGTTGCCCGGTTTAATGGTGAGGAAGCTGAACTTAGGAAGTGTTTACGGTGTCAAATGAAAGAGCAAGAATTCAGGCACTCAGGAGGCAGAATCTGTGTTCTGGACCATATACTGCTAATCTGATGGAAAACATGAAACCAAAGTGGGGGAAATAGAGAGAGAAAATATAGGAAGGCATAGCATGAATAGGAGGAAATGGAGGCAGGCTGTTACTGAGTCCTCATGAAAAAGACAGCAGGGATGAGCCATCAGATATATACGGGGATGCCATATATATGATGGCATTTTATGAAAGGGATGTGGTCTAGAGACAGCTAGAAACTCAGATAAGGACACTGGGTCAGGAAGCTCTGGGGGCACATGCAGGCATCCTATAGCCATGGATATGAAGACAGGTCACCACCAGGTGCTAAAGTGGCTCAAGAAGGACCTTTCAGCCAGAGCTGACCCTTACAACCTATTCTCATGACTCGAGTCTGATCTCGGGAATCATGGTGAGCTAATCAGCTCCACATGGGCTCTGGATTGATGCTTCAAGGGCTTCTACAGCTCTCACATGATAAAGACAAAAGAGAGTAACCTGTTTCAGCTCCTGAAATGAACATCTAATTTTTGTTCCTTAGGACCTGTTGACAGCTGCTGTCAAGAAAGCCTGGCCTGGTAACCCTCAGGTCCCTCCTCATCTGATGGTCTGTTCTCGTTGACTCTGTTAACATTGCTGTCTCATCCCATGCGAACTCGTTTGCTTTCTGTTGTTGTGATGAAACCCCATGACCTAAAGCAATGTGGGGAAAAAAGGTTTAGTTAAGCTTACAGTTTATAGTCCACCAAGAAGGGACATCAGGATAGGAACTTTAGGCAGAAACTGAAGCAGAGGTCATGGAGGAACGCCACTTACTGGCTTGCTCCTCATGACTTGCTCAGCTTGCGGTCTTATATATCTGAGGACCACCCATACAGGGGTGAAACCTTCCAGTGGTGTTATCTTAATCATCAGTCCAGAAAATGCCCCTGCAGATTTGTCTACAAGCCAATCTGATGGAGGAATTTTTCTCAGTTGAGAGTTCTTCTCCTAGATCATCCTATCTTCTTTTGTTGATAAAACAAAACCAGCCCACGCACCTCACATGGGGGAAGAGGGCTCTTTCCTTGTGTTTCTGACGTCCACGACATTTTTTGCATGTGTAGCTTTTCCAAGTTCAGGGTTGACTAGGAAAGCTTCATCTCCTGTATATCTTGCCCATATTCCTGAATTCACAGTTGTCTACCTCTGGTTCTTTTGATTGACTAGACGTGGCCTATATGCTCTGATCTTCTGTCCCGTGGGGGTTAGAGAGAGATGATGAACATGAACACTGGGGAGGCAGTGAATTTTCCCTTTGCGTTCAGCTCATACTATCATGACACAACTGGACCTCCCAAAAGATACCTCCACTCGTTACCAGGGCAACAGCTTGAGAGTCTCTCTCTAGGGAAGACAGACCAGTGGGGGAAAAAACTTTTGATGTTTCATTTATTTACTTGTTTGTTTGTTTCCTTACTTATTTATTCATTTATATGATTATTTGAGACAGGATTTCTGTGTAGTCCTTGACTGTTCTGGAATTTGCTCTGTAGACAAGATTGACCTTGAATTCAGAGATCAACCTGCCCCTACCTTCTGATTATTAGAATTAAAAGCATGTACTACCATGACCTGGCTCCTTTTGATACTTTAATTAAACCCTTGACCTTCCTTAAATTAACAAATACTTAAGCTATTACTTATTTAGAATAGTCTAAATTCAATGTATTGATCATAATGAATATTATAATATTCTGTTTATAAACAAAACTTACAATTAAGTTATAATTATAAACAGCAATAAATATTTTATAATATAATAATGAATATATAAGAATATTATATTCTTTTTGATATATTGATACAGGTATTCTTGCAGTAGTCTTCTGAATGACTTAAAAATAATGATGTCTCATTGCATTTTCAGAAAATGAAAATTTTCATTTGAGGGGAATCTAATCTTTTACTCAACTGTTAGGACTCAATTGTGCTTTAAGATCCAGGGCAGATTAGGAATGTCTGGGTTCAAATTCTGCCTCTGTGATCCCAGGCAGGTTATCTATCCTCTCTGGCCCTGGAGTCATCTCTTATAAAAGGGATGTAACAGTGGTCCAGGCTCCAGATGGGCATCAAGTGAAGACATGAAGAGCATCAATACTCGTTTTTTGTACTTCATCTCTGTTGGATGCATTTCTTGTTTTTTTACTGATCCAGTTATCAGTGTTAATAATAATAATAATAATAATACCTGCTTCCAGAATCTAAGCTTCTCACATTGCATAAATGGGATTTTTTTTCTCTCTGGATATCTAAAATGGACACTCACCGTGAAATCTATTATTTCTCAGAATGGAGAAGTAATGATGGAGGAAAAACCACCCTCACCCAGGGAAACCAAACAGAGTCATCAATTCTCCATCCCCCAGATTCACAATGGTATGTACACAATATTTATTTCTTTATTCCATGACTCATTTTTGCAAACACATCTCCAGCACTTGGGAAGGGTGAATTTCAGGTGGGATATGTCATTTTAGAAGAGATTTCTTAAAATTAACACTTTATTTTAAAATGCTTTTGAAGATTCATTTACTTTTTTATCACTGTGTGTGTTTTCTGCATTTATATATGTGTACCATTTGTCCCCCTGGTGCAAATAAAATAGTTACAAAATAAAATCTGTTTTATCTGTGAGTTTATCTGAAAATGGATTATCAGAAAAACCTCAATGAAACAGTACAGATTAACCACATGAGAAGAGATACCACCGGTGACAACACTGATGGATTGCAAAGGCCCCAAGCAGCCACACCACCAGGCCCAGTTTCTGAGCTGGAAAGTAAATGGACTCAATATTAGCATGAAGGGCTAAGCCCTGGGAGGGAACAGAGGAAGGCACTGGTGTCTGATACAAGAAGAAACCTGTTTAGGCACAAAGAAGCAAAGAGAACACTTGATGCACTGTTGAGACCTGGAGGGGGCTGTTGAAAAAGAAACTCCAGAGAGAAAGAGTTGGAAAAGTCTTACCAGGGAAAAGAAAAGTTAAGAAACAAGAGTTAAAGGTGTTGGCTAGGGAGTCCTGAAGCACAAATACCTTCCAGGGTGGGGTGGCCACATGTGCAGATGGGGCTAGAAGTAGGAACGAGAGATGAGATCAGGGTGAGGGATGAAGGTGGAAACTGGGAAAGAACAAGGCTCTGTGGGATCTCACCTGTGTCCTTTCTTCTTCAGAGTCCCGTGAACTAAAAGTCCAACTGAGTGACAGAGATGCAGGCCTGGAGCCTCACATCCTACTGCCCTGCAGCAAGGAAAGTAACTATTGTTTCCCTTCCTGGCTTTGTTTGTCAGGTGGTCTGTATGTGCTTGATAGAACTTTTGTTTGTTTAAAAAAATTTTTAATCATTTTCAAAATTGACTATTGAAAAATTATTATGCATATTTGGGGTTGGGAGTGTAGCTTGGGTGTGAAATGCTTGTCTAGTGTTTGTGAGATCCATGTTTCAATCCCAGCACCGCAGACACACACACACATACACACATGTACCCATGCACAAGCATCCACACCCCCCCCACACACACATCATCTCAGAGGCAGCATACAGTTTTTTTTAATATTTATTTATTTATTATGTATACAATTCTGTCTGGGTATATGCCTGCAGGCCAGAAGAGGGCACCAGACCTCAAGCATACAGTTTTAAATATGCACATTGAAATGGCTGCATCAAGGTATATCTGTTACCTCACATACATTTTCATGGGAAGAATATTTAAAATTCATGACCTCAGTGATTTCTTGAGAACTCAATATATTGTTAGTTTTATTATGTTGTATAATGGATGTCTTGAACTTATTCTTCCTGACTGAAATTTTATGTCCACTATGACCTCAGTCGTCCTCCTCACTTCCACTTTACTTCATCTGAGTAGGACCCTTTCCCAGGCCACCTAACATGAAATTATGTAGTTTTAGCTTTTCTGTGTAACATGAGAGCCGGCTTGCTCATTGGGGTTTCCATCACACCCGGTACCCCAATCTGGCAAGCCCCAAAGAAAATCACACAGAGATCTCCATAAGTTATAAAACTGATTGGCCCATTAGCTCAGGCTTCTTGTTAACTCTTACAGCTTATATTAACCCATTATTCTTATCTATGTTAGCCACACAGCTTGGTACCTTTCTCGGTGGGGCAACTTACATCTTGCTTCTTCAGAGTCCTGGCAGGAGTGGAGGAATAGTCTTCCTCCTTCCAAGCATTCTCCTGTTCTCATTGCCCCACCTCTACTTCCTGTATGGTTGACCACCTATCCTTCCTGCCTGGCCAATCAGCATTTGTTCAAAATAAACAGATTGACAGAATACAGACAATTCTCCTGCACCACTTCCCCCTCTTTTTTTTTAAACAAAGGAAAATACTCATAGTCCTTTTTTGGGGAATGTGGGCATGGTATTCTAGGCTACTTCTTGCTGGTTGGGGGGTGCTGCTAATCTTATGGAGACCTAAAGTAAATTTAGAATTATAATCAAGTCCTGACTGGAGTATCCTGTGAGTCTTGATCATCTCAGGCAGCAGTCTTGAATCTGTTCTGGGTGTAGAACTCAGACATTTGGGCCATCTGTTCCTACCAAAGATTTCTCAGGTGGTCTTCCTTGATCGAACCTTGTTTTTCTTAATTCAGAATGAATCCACAGCCTTTCATTTCCTGTGGAAACAAAAGCAAAATCTCTTCTCCAAAGTAACATATATCTTCTGACTTCAATTTTGAAGTCAAGGTATTTTCAAAATACCTATCTTGGATTAATTCAGCAGCATTTATAAGCAAATATCTTTTAGCAGCTGTTGCTCCTTCCTTAGCATTTAAATAATTCAAAGAGACCATAATAGCATACAGTATCAAGATTCTCTGTGTATTTTCATCTTTATGCGGCTTTCTTTTAACCTCTATTTCTTTTACTTGTACTTTTCTTTTTGAGACAGGATCTCTCTATGTCTTTGTCCTGGAATAACTCTGTTATTCCTTAAACTCACAGAGATTTATCTGTCTCTGCCTCCCCAGTGCTAGGCTTAAAGGTGTCTACTACCACACCTTGAATTCACAGAGGTCTGTCTGCCTCTGCCTCTCAAGCTTTGGGATTAAAGGCATGTGCTACCACAACTTACTACTCTCTTTCTTTCTTTTTTTATTTTTAAGGACTTTAACCTTTAGCCTGCATATATTTTTAACACACTGTAAACCATTTAGAGGTTTTCTTTGTCTTTGAATTTCTCTTTATTGTATCTCTCTCTCTCTCTTTTTTGACCATATGAGTCTTTAATTTACTAAGCAATATGAATGTTCTTCCTCATCCATGTTATCTCCACTGATGTGGTCTTCTTCACTTTAAGACTGTCTGGGAGTCTCTCCTCTGTGAACACTACACTCTCTCCAGATGCTGGCAGCTGCTCATACTGACTCCATACATGGAGATTGTCCAGCTGTAAAAACTGCAGGTGTCTCATTAACAGAATGATTTAAATCCCCTGAGTTTGTGCAGTAGAGAAGTCTGTCTAATCACATCATGGCTCTATTTTCAGTTGTTTTTGAGGAAACTCCATACTGTTTTTTTTTTTCATAAGGCTGTAGGCACTTACACCCTACTCACACATACAGGGCTCCATTTCTCTAGAACACCAACACTTCCTCTTGCTTGTCTTTTTGGTGGTGGCCATTCTAACCAGTATGAGGTGACATTGCTTTGGAATTTCTTGTTCCCTGATCATGGTGCTGGGCACCCTTGTTTTTCCATGGTCATCCACAGTCCTATTGAATAGAAGCATTGAGGTTGGGCATCCTTTGGTAAAGAGAGAGCTTTTCACACTTGAGTACTGATGTTTGCTATGAGTTCTTTGTATATAGCTTTGAGATATAACTGCATATAATTTCTGACTTTCAGATTAAAAAAGTATCTGATCCTGGTCCTTTTCTAAAAAAAAATAGTAGAGTTTTAATTATGAATTTAACCTCATTTGTTGTAGCATGTCTTAAGTCAGACTGGAGAGCTTCTGCCTTCTGCCTGGACATTTACACCTTCCCATAAATTTGGAAAGTTTTCTGTTATATCTTCAAAGTTTTCATTCCCTGTTCCTTTACAAAGGAAATAGGCCTAGCTTTTGAGGTGAGTCATTGGTCAAGGTCCTAGGACTACAGTCTGTAGCAGACTTGGAGACTCATATCACAGTTACTGGCTTTGGCCTCATAGGGGCCTGCTTAGTGTTGCATTCTCTGGGGCAGCACCAGCATTGAGGTCAAAGGTGAAACCTGGTTCTTGGCTTCTCTGTCCTCCCTCAGTTGCAAGTTTTCTCTCTCTGTGCTGTACTGAAGAAGTTAGGGATTATTTAAAGTGGCCAAGCTCAATGTACCTTTTCTTATTTTCTTGCACCATCTAGGTGGTTCCCTTAGGCATTAAGAAGGTATTTTCATGCATACAGATATTCAGTCTGATGTCGGGTAGGGCTGGGTTGGGGGTTAATTACAGAACTGCTTTCAAATCAGCTCTTTCCTGTATTGAAAATACATTTTTAAATGTATACTTTGCTTTTCTAAAATAGTAAACACGCTCTTTTTGTTTTTGCCCACATTGTCCACCCCCACCCAGACACAGTCTCTTGGTGATTTTAACATCTGTGAGGGGGGAGATTGTTGTTGTTCTCCTTAATAGAGAAGTGGGTAGAAAAAGCAAGGAGAGAGAAAAGGGAGGCACCAACTAGAGAACAATAAGTAGCAATGCCTGGCAGGCAAGCAGGGTTTAGAACAGCATGCAGCCCAAACCTCCCCATGCTGGCTGAGGGATGGGATGACTGGTACCTTTCTTCTTAGAAGTTCAATGGAACAGAGATCCTGTAGGACATTTCCTATCAGCTTTCAAGGAAGGAGGCCCAGGGGAGAGCCCTGCAGATAAAGACTGGGCAGTGCTGATAGGAGACCGTCGGTGATGCTTAGGGAAAAACAGACGTGGAAGGATGACCAGAGACATCCAGGAGGGGCCAACAGGGCAGACACTAGGTATGGAAAGGAGGCTTCCAAAGGTCAGGAGGCTCTCTTCTCTTCACCTCCTTAGTCTTATGCTCAGAGTACACCTTTGCCTCCTTTTGGTCCTGGCCCTGAAATAAAGTGACTTTTCAAGTATAGAGGGGGCTGTGAGGTCTCCCTCAATACTGCTGACCCCAGTTTGAGCTCCAGTGTACACTTGGTGACGGGAGAGAAGCCACTCCCACAGGTGTTCTCTGACTGCCACATGTGCTAAGTGAGTAAATACATAATCAATCAATCAATGAAAAAATATAGAGGGAGAAAAGTATGAAAAATAGGAAAGTAAACAAATAGTGGGAACCAGGCAAGGCACAGAGAGCCCGACAGAGGAGAATTGTCAGAATTGCTGTGAGAAGTTGGGAAGA